TCTCTTGCCTCATCCATTCCAGGTTCCTGTGGGCTCAAACCCGTTGTGCCCTGCTGGACGGGGCACACCCCTAATCTCAGATAGAGACCCAGAGGTTGGGACTGAAGCGCTGGTGGTAATTCCGCCTTAAACAGTGAACAAGAGCTGTGACTCCTTTGTCCTTTTAATCTTTTCATTTTTTTAAAGATTTATTTAGTCTGTATACATGCGCCAGGTACTTGTTGGTGACTCATGGAGGCCAGAATAGGGTGTTGGATTCCCTGGAACTGGAGTCATGGGTGGTTATGAAAAGCCACGCGGGAGCTGGGAAGAGAACTCAGGTCCTCAGGGAAAGTAGCCAGTGCTCTTAACTGCCAAGCCACTGCTCCAGCCCCTGATGTGGTTTTCTTCTCTCCCTCTGACACTTCCTGCCTCGTCTACTTTGGTAGAATGTGGACCACCACTGTCAGCCTGATGCCCACTTCTCTGTATCAGCAGGTTGGCATCTGAACACGGGTGTCCTGCTGAAGAAATGGCCTCTTCCAAGGTTACAATGGCATCCCTTGGAGTCTTTGCACAGCCTGGGAGTGAGTGTGTGTGTGTGTGTGTGTGTGTGTGTGTGTGTGTGTGTGTGTGTGTGTGTGTGTGTGTGTGTGTACCCACACGTAGGTGCTCATGGAGGCCAGCAGAGGGCATCAGATCCCCTAGAGTCAGAGTAACAGGCAGGTGCTGGGATCCACCTTCAGATCCACTGCAAAGACCAGCACAGGCTCTTAACCATGGAGCCATACCTCCAGCCCTATCTTTTGGGGTTTTGAGACAGGGTGTTGCTGTGTACCTCAGACTGGCCTTGAAATTCTTGATCCTCCTGCCTCGGTTTTCCGAGTCAGGGGAGCCTCAGGTGTGTGCCCCAGCTCCTGTCTCCATGGCTTCTTCTGCAGGGGAGAAGTATCTAGCTGCAGGGGATCAGAAATAAAACCCAGCTCAAGATTTCAATCACACCACGCTACACTTTCTCTCCCAGGCCTGAAATAAAATTCCTAACACCTTTTGTGATTGGATACACTGAATTTAAATAGGACTGTGGCTGTAAACAGAAACCGAAAGCTGCGGATTGATGTGTCTATTTCAGTGAGTCGTGGCCATGTTATTTCTGAATATGGAGACTAAAATTAATAAAATGACAAGCACAAAAGGCCCAGAATCTGGAGATGTGTCCTGTAGTGATAAGTCTTTAAATAACACTAGCAGGTGTTAATAAAAGACCAAAAAAAAAAAAAAAAAGAGCAACATGCTTTTTTTTTTTTTTTCTTGGTTTTTACGAGACAGGGTTTCTCTGTATTGTTTTGGAGGCTGTTGGCCCAGCCTGGCCCCGAACTCACAGAGATCCGCCTGCCTCTGCCTCCCGAGTGCTGGGATTAAAGGTGTGCGCCACCAACGCCCGGCTGAGCAACGTGCCTCTTTATTTGTATTTAGAGACAAGTTTGCATTGTAGGCCAGGCTAGTCCCCACTCACAATGCAGTGGAGGCTGGACCTGAACTCCTGATCCTCTTGCCTCACCTCCCAAGAGCTGGGGTAACAGCTGTGCACCACCATTGTCCAGTAATGTGAGAGGGCTTTCCAGGCCACTGCGTACACACTTTATAGGTTATGAACTGTATTTGTGTGTGTGTGAGACTTGGGCCTTGAACCCAGGGTTTTCCATATACTAGACAGGAGTTCTGCCATCTCAACAACCCTAAGATAGTATTTTTATTAATTTTCCTTATTTGTTTTTATTCTACGGCCTTATGTATGCTACACACATTGTCTACCACTGAGCTACACCCCATCTGTAGTACTAATTTAAAGCTGTTACTGATGCCAATGGCAATGACATGGGTATTTATAAGTAGTTTTAACGAAGGGCAGATCTGAGAGAAATGATGCTCATACCAGAATTGAAGATGTTTAGTTCTATGTCAGTGGGCTGTCAGCTCAGATCCAACGGTTTTCACTGGAATAGTCGGGTCTGAGCTCACAAGGGCTCCTCACTTTCTCATCTGTGTAAATAAAGCTATCTACTTAATCTGAAGAGTTCATGTCCCCTGAATGTTACTGTAGAGGTATCTGTTACCTACTCAGCTTTGCAAACTGTTGTAGAATGACACCTTTGGTGTAAATTTGGTTAAGTGGCGCACAAAATGGCCAACCCGACGACTTCATTATACCGCGTGGCATTTCAGTGTATCGTTTTACAACAGATGTCTAACATCAGACTTTTCCATCTGAGGACCTACTGTAATCTTTAGTAAATTAAACAGTTCAAAGTGATTACCTGTTACTGAAAAACACCCACTAAGCTGGTATAATTTTACCTACACTTTACGGATAAGAGAGAAACCTAGATAGTACTGCCGGGAAAATGACCCTACAGCTTCTAACGCTGTAGACACACCGGGGTCTGTGGCTCATGCTGGAGCCTGGGCTCCGCACCTGTTTTACCTAAGCAAGCTGTTGCTTAGTGATGACTATAAACACCCTGGTCAGGGCCTGAGAGCCGGCTCAGAGGTGGAGAATGTCCCCTGTCCTCCCAGGATACCCACCTGCGCCGCTCACAACTGCCTGAAACGCCAGCGCTAAGAAACCTAATACTCTCTTCTGGCCTCTATGGGTGCTGAATCCACGTGTTACACACTCATAAACGAAAATAAATCCTTAAAAATAACGACCTTCAAACGCCAGACGTGTCTCATTTGACGTTCTGGCTGGTTGATTTGAAAGAAGCCTGACTTTTCCCCAACCCCTTCACAGCAGAGCCATGACCCTCACTCCGGAGGACCTAGCTGTAGGTGGTGATGCTTCTTGCTGTAGTGCAACCCAAGCCTCCAGCCGGTGGTCGGTGTGCCCCAGTGACTTTGCACCATGCTGACAGAAGCGGGCTCCTGACTAAGTCACTCCTGAAGGGCCACAGCACACGGTAAGGGTGACAGGAGGAACTTGAGCGCAGAGTAGTCTACTATTTACTTATTCAGTTATTTTAAACAGACTGCTTGGCTTTACATACCTATCCCCTGACGTACTGACTACTGCAGAGTTTTGGAAAAGACAGATAATGAAGGAGACAGAGGGGCCAGTGAGATGGCTTGGTAGGGGAAGGCCTGTGCTGTGACCCCAGGAAAGCATGTAACGGTGGAAGGAGAGAACTCACTCCAACGTTTTCTTCTGACCTGTACAGACATGCTGTGGTACATGCATGCCCTACTCACGCAGCACGGCTACAAAGGAGGAAATGCGACCTAGCTCTGAACACCACCGTGTTCTTTATAATGTATTTCAGTTTCTAGTAGCTGTAGAGCCCAGATCTCAAGAGCTGGGGTTCAGCAGCTCTATCACCTAGTAAATATGTGGGCTTTGTGGGTCACACAGCCCAAACGCCGCAGTAACACCCTAGAAAACAGCTGATAAAAAAGTTCAAAACGGATGTGGCTGGGATTCAATAAAACTTTTATTTATGGAAGCAAGGGGCACGCTGGATTTGGAATGGAGGCCACCGTTTGCCCATCTCTCATCTACACCAGCACTAGCCAAGGGAAACACTGCAAACCATGCATGTAATTAAAGTCTCTAGTGACCACACTCACGTGTGCTGTGGTTTGGATATACGTGGCCGCAAAGGTACATGGGTTAGGTTTGGCTGTGAGCTTTGGGGAACTGACTGCATCATTAGGGTTCCAACCAGCCCAGCCACCAACCCACCGTTTGATGCTACTATCAGCAGGCGGGGACTGGCTGGAGGAAGCAGCTCCTGGCTATGCCCTGGATGAGGCTGTCTTCCCCTTCTGCTTCCTTGTCACTGGGAGCTGTACAGTCTGGTTCACAGGTCCCCACCCTGACACCCTGCCTCACTGCAGTGTGATAGCAGGAGACGCCTCTGAACCCACGGACCAAGTCAACCTTTCTAAGTGTTTTTTTGGTTTTGTTCTGTTTGTTTTTGGTTTTTCAGGACAGGGTTTCTCTATGTAGCACTGGTTGTCCCAGAACTCTCTCTGTAGACCAGGCTGGCCTTGAACTTACAGAGACCCTGCCTGTCTCTGCCTCCTGCTGGGATCAAAGGTGTGTGCCACCAACGGCCCAGTTTTTTTTTTTTTAGGTATTCTGCTACAACATTAACTCATTATATCCCAAATATTTTAACACACACTCAATAAATAAAACTACTGAGATACTGTAATTCCTTTTGTATTAAATCTTTGCAACTGTTATTTTCTACACTTTGTGCAGAGTCCCGCATCTCTAATGCTCAGCAGTTATGACTACGGCTGTCCTGCAGGACCTTGTGATCTGGATCTAGGACCCCCGTGCTTGTCACAGCAGTGTTGAGATTTGGCCGTTTGAAAGTAAGAGACAGGACAAGGGGTTATAGCTATCAAGGAGAGATATTTGGTCTCAGTCACCTCTAGCTGGGAAGGCCTGGGGTTCCAGGGCACAAACTGTGCTGTTCTTAGGTGAAGCACCCTGGCCTGTGCAATGAATCTTTTTTTTTTTTTTTTTTTTTTTTTTTTACGAGACAGGGTTTCTCTGTATTGTTTTGGAGGCTGTCGGTCCAGCCCGGCCTCGAACTCACAGAGATCCGCCTGCCTCTGCCTCCCGAGTGCTGGGATTAAAGGTGTGCACCACCACCGCCTGGCATCTGCAATGAATCTTATGTCAAAAGATTGTCTGGTGATAGACCAGGAAAGGGTCAAAGTCTGCGCCAACCCTGCCATCACTGGCCCTCAGCAGAGTTCCAGTCACAGAAGGGAGCTAGCACTCACAGGTCAGCACTGAAAGCATTTCTGTGCTGACGCCAAGGAAGACCACCCAGAGCCTCCAAATGCTGCCCACAGAATGTAGCAACTGCCAGCCAGGTATAGCTCGGCAAATTAGCAGAGTCCACTAATAGGCTCTTGGGAAGCTGCTGATTCAAACACAAGGTTCTAAATCAATAAACCCAAGACAAGAATGTACATGTGCTGTTAATGAAACTTAGAAACAAGTATTTGTAACAAAAAATTTATTACCAAAATACAATATTTAAGTCAATACATGACAAACTCCTGTAAAGCAAAATAAATTATTCTAATTTTGCACAGTACTTCTGAAGGTAAAGAGGTGCCTGGTGGCTTGCCGACTCTTCTGTACAGGTGGCCTGCTCTACCACAAACACAACTCTAGAGTTTTGGCTTTTAAGGCTTGCAGCTCAATGTGCAACATAACATGACCAAATGCCAATTGTCCAGTTTTAGTGACACAGTGTCAGAATCAACTGTCGCTTTTTTTGTTACATGGTATTCCAGAAGTTTCTCTACTTTGGCTACAGAAGCAAAGCCATGTTACACAATACTTATTTCTTTAAAAAAATACACATCTTTATGCCCATGAATGTCAAACTCAAGTTACTATTAAATATATTTATAGACTATTACTTTGAGCACCTTGCCGTACAATTAAAAAACAAAGGATTAAATAAGTGTTTATGAAACTGAGAAACAGAGGTGCCTGCGCGTCTTCTGTCAAGCCAAGGACGCTGGGGAGGTGTGATGTAAACATGACGCTCACGTTTGTTTTGTGAGGACAAAACCAGAGCAGTTACGGAGCCACCAGTGGTTACCTCAAGCAGGACTGAAAGGTCCAGGTCTAAAGCTTCAGGTGGTACCGCTGCTCGACGTGGTCTATCACAGATAAATTGAAGAAGCATGTGGCTGACAGGCCGGGGGGAGCACTCCTATGGTCACAGCAAGGGTAAGACGATAAAGCCCTAAGATAGTAATAATAAGGATCACAGCCATCATCACCTCTCCGTCTCGTGTTTACTGAGCCCAGTGAGTGTCTTTAAAACAGTATTCCCCATCCAGTCTCAGAACTGCAGGTGGCCAGGGCAGCAGACAGACACAGGGTTCCCATGCCAATGCCTACACCAGTGGCCAGCACACTCCTGTGGCTGGTGACCCTGACTACGTCTCCAACGATGAAAACCGCACACACACAATTTCTGTTACTGCGAAACTGCTCCTTGGTAGAGACTGGTTAAGGCTTACTGCAAAATGTTAGCAGGTGTGCGGTGTACCCATCCAGAGAGCTCACAGGAACACACAACAGTGTGGAGGCTTTGAACTTCTGGGTTAATTTCCCCCATGGGGTGGGGGAGATTTTAAACTGATGATCGAAATCATGTAATCTGGGAAGCATCATCTCAAGAGTCACACTGCTGGAATGGTGGGATGTTGTGGGTGATTACTATTTTTTAAACAATTCTAGAAAATTAAAGCCACAGGAAACTCATGGAAGGCTAATAGTGTTAGACTAACAGCACAATGGAAAACAGATCTAGTGTGTGCAACAGCAATGGGTGATAAACACGGAAATTACTTGCAGTTGGCATTAAATATAAATATTTTAATTGTAAAAATATGAGAAAAACCTATTTAAATCCACAGAGTGAAATTAGGGCAATCTAATTAGATCAAGAAATTAATTTTCTTATTAAAATCCATGTATCAGAAATGAATCAACTTTCATAAATAAATTAAGCCTACCTTGGCCAAACATGATGGCAGTTGTCTTTAATCCCAGCACTCAGGAAGCTGAGGCAAATGGATCTCTGAGCTCAAGACCAACCTGGTCTTCAAAGTGAGTTCCAAGTCAGCCAAGGCTACATAGAAAAAGAAAAAGAAAAAAAAAAAGCTACCTAAAATCAAATCAAAGAGTGGCAAAGTTTTAGCCAATTTTCTCTAAACAGTGTCATTAAACTGACTGGGGGAGACAGGTGTTGGTGGCGCACAGCTGTAATCCCAGCACTCGGGAGGCAGAGGCAGGTGGATCTCTGTGAGTTCAAGGCCAGCCTGGTCTACAGAGCGAGTTCCAGGACAGCCTCCAAAGCAATACAGAGAAACTCTGTCTCGAAAAACCAAAAGGAAAAAAAAGACTGGTGGGGGGAAAAGATAAAACAAATCAGAAACTGTTTCCACATACCTGCCCCACGCAGCAGCCCCCAGTGCCAACTGACAGCTAAGAACTCATTTCTTGGACACTTGAACCCTGGGAACAAAAGTTGTAAATCTTGTCAGCACCCATGGACCCTTTCCTTCCAAGAGCTGCCCGTCGGCTCTGGGTGTGTGACAGCAAGGCAGAATCTGCTTTAATGGAGCAGTGTGAGAGTGGTCAGAACTACAGAAATGTCAGCACCCTGTCCGCCCTGCCCTCACAACACGTGACTAGTGAGGTCCTATCTGCACGACGTAAACTTTAGCAGTGTACTGTGAGTTTTCACTGTGTCTTGCATGCTAACAAATGGTGTTTCTGACAAGTTTGCTTTTGCTTGTTTTCTCGTCGCTAGATGCTCACCAGAGAAGCGCCTAACTGCTGAGCCACACCCTCAAGTCTCCGTTCTGCTTCTCAGAGGCTTTAGTTGACTAGCGTTTTGCCTGAATGTATGACTGTGTACCACACACATATCTGGTACCTGAGGAGGGCCAGAGGGTAGCAGCTCCCCCAGAACTACAATTACAGAAGGTTGAGTCGCCATGTGGTCCAAACCTGGATCCTGTACAAGAGCAGCCAGTGCTCTTACCTGCTGAGCCATCTCTCCAGTCCTTTTTGAAATTATATTTAGTTCAGTTTTTTGAGACAGGATCTCACCTGGAACTTGCTACGTAGACCAGGTTAGCCTCAAACTCAGAAATCACCTGACTTATTAAACTAGTCTCAAGTTCTACTGTACTTTAGCCGTACTGCCTTGCTCTGTTAAATGTAACGGCAGCAATAAACTCTAAGGGGGGAAAGCTCAGCAGCTGACTTTCAGCTCTTACTCTCCAACTGGTCTCTCTTTTTTTTTTTTAACCCCAGGAGGCCCAGCCCTGCTGGTCCAGGCTGGTCTCAAACCTGCAATCTCCTGATCAGAACCCCAGGTATGGATTTCGGTCTGTGCCACCACTCCCAACCTCCCCAAAGATCTTTATCTTGGCGCTCAAGCTATGTCTACGTCCTGGTGATGCAGCACCGTCTCCATCCTCTGTTGCTGGAGGAGGCTGTCAGGTCTGCTGCTGCTGGTGGAGATATGGGCTCGGTGTGTTCACACTGTATAGAACCTCTGTGAAGTCACCACTTCTGGGAACCTGAGATTTGGTTGAGTCTTGTGGGGAGTCACTGTGAATTCGAAACAATAATTTACTTCCCAAATGTGCTCTGGGATCCCTCTTCCATCTTTTTTAGGGAGTAAAAAAACCATACCCTACACTGAGTCTGTGATAAATTCTTATCTACAAGGGAAGCCATATTTGAAGCTACCCCACAGCCCGCTGCCCACTGGAGACAGTGGACACCACCCTCTCCCATTTGCTGACTTCCCTACCAGCCCGGGCCACTGGAGAGCTGGCCAGGGTGACTCTGTGTGGCCTTCTCAACTCATCTACTTGCAGATTCTGAACTATGGTAAGCTTTTAATAGTAAGCACTTGATACTAAGGAGTGACAGAGGCTCACACAGGGTCACAGCTCTTTAGCCTCAATCAAACACTGAAATACCAGTCACACCACCTGCCTTCCCCCTGTGCAATGAGGCCAGTGACAGCACTGAGGTTGACCTGCAGCTCAGAGGGCTCCCCCCACAGGCCCGGAGGGCTCCCCCCACAGGCCCGGAGGGCTCCCCCCATAGTCCCGGAGGGCTCCCCACACACGCCTAGAGGGCTCCCCCCACACGCTCCCAGCTAGTTGGCGTTCAGGGCTGTGCCGTGGTCCTTGTTCAGGATGATGCTGACGATCTCCCCCTCATGCTCCTTCATGTGCTCCAGGAGGCTGTCCTTGTTGGTCGACTCGAAGCCACAGATGCAGCAGCAGAAGAGCAGCACGCAGTACTCGGGGCCTGGTGTAGCCACGCTGCAGCCCCTTCCTGGGCCGTCAGAGCTGCTGCCTGTGGGGCTGAGTTTCTCAAGCTCGCTGGCATCTATGACTTCACTGGGCAGCTGCGAGGTCAGCTCTGAGGATGTCACCAAGTCTTCTGGACTGCCGGTGGTAGGGTCAGCTCTCTCTCCACTGCTGGTTAAAACTGGTTTCCCAGGGGATTTCCCCAGACCTCTTATAAAAACAGAACAGAGCCAACCTTCAGTGGGTTATGCTGTGGGCTGGGAGGTGACCCCTAGCGTTGCTCAGTAGCTAGCACTCAAACGAGGGATGGGGTGGCATACCTGCTGCTTTGAGAGATTGCGTCGTTGATGGCCTTGTTAACTTGCTCGTAGTTGTAGTTCTGGTCGCTCGCATGCTTCCACATGTGTGACTTCAAGGAGGGGGGGTGGCTGCATACGTACCCACACAAGGAGCACCTGGAGACAGGGCCAAGAAAGTCACAACCACCTCACAGCACGACTGAGGATCCACAACGGTTTTATGTGAGTGCCACCCGTCCTGGGTAAGTGTCTCTCCACAGCAAGCGGGGACCACCACAGAAAACCCCAACTGCACACATTTACATCACAGTTCCTGCATCTGTGGCTCAGGGAACACCAACTGAGAGAGGGAGAAGAGATTGTGAGAGCCAGAATACCAGGAAGTCTGCTGTGAAACAGCCTCTCCGGAATGGCCGCATAAACAAGACGGGACAGAGGCAGAGTCAGTGGTCTTGTTAACCCTGCAGGGGAGAATCCCACAGGACCCCAGGCCTGGACAACAGCCACCGGCAACTGATGACTGCTCAGAGAGGGAGTCAGCCTCTTCCCGGGATGAACCTCCTCACACTGGCTGTCCAGAGCAGGGTGGTCAGGGTTGTAATCACAGACACACAACAACAACAGGCTCAGTAAGTGGTCCTGTATACATTGTGAATATATACTCAAGTACTATCAACTTGAATGGGGGAGGACACGGGAGAGGTGTGAGGGAGGACGGCTGGGAGGGACTGAAGGGAAGAAAGCGAGGCGGGACGTGATGCAAAGCTATTTAAATAAAAAACATTAAAAATAAAATTTTTGCTGTTGTTTTTCCGATACAGGGTTTCTCTGTATTGCTTGCTATGCAGACCAGGCTGGCTTGGAAATCACAGAGATCCGTCTGCCTCTGCCTCCAGAGTGCTGGGACTAAAGGCGAGCACCACCAACGCCCGGCCAAAAATAAGTTTTTACAAACTCACAGTAGCTCTAACTGTGACCCCTAAGCGTTCCCAGTTGAGCCACCATTCACAGAATTTACATTTTCAGTGGTTCTAAGGCACACACTGACTTCACAGGGTACCAGAAAGAAGGGTAAACAACAAGAAAAAACCAAGGGCAGGAGGTGTTTTATAATATAAAGACTTTCTAGGAATCTAAATAAACATTCCATTTTACTTTAGCTAAAATACATGATGGAAAAAATTTTCCAACATAGTAAAGTACACAATTTTTGTTCTAATTTCTTCAACCACAGGCATAATGATTTATTCCACTGTTAATCAAGAGAGCAAAATGTGGAGTTGGGGCTGGAGAGACTCTGGCTGCTCTTGTGGAGACCCCAGAATGGATCCCCAGCACCCACATGGTGCTCACAGCCACCTTTAACTCCAGCCTCAGGGGACCCGATGCCCATTTCTGACCTTCATGGATACTACATACATGTTGCAAAACACTCATACACATAAAACCACTGGAGAGGGAGAGGGAGGGAGAGGGAGAGAGGGAGAGAGAAGCTGAGCTGGAGAGATGGTGTAGCCTTCCACACATAAGTGGCCACCACATGGGTGCTGGGAATGGAACCACGTCCTCTGGAAGTGCAGCCTGTGTTCTTAACTGCTGGGCCAGCTTTCCAGCCCCAAATTCTGTTTAAAGCAATCTGAGTATCTTGCATTAGTGTGATTTGTCACAACTCCGCAGTTTAAAGTCGTGCTCGTAGTGTGTCTATTTCTGCATGGAACTGGAGAAACACAGTGTTGTGGACCCCACTGCAGAGCCCCCCAGTCCTCTGTGCTCTGCCTATTCACCCCTCCCTCCTGGCACCACCACTCCACCTTGTTTCTGGAGACTAAAGGGTGTCTAACCGGTTGGTCTGGAGCTCACCAAGTACACTGGGCTGCCGGCCAGTTACTAGCCCCAGGAAGCAGCAGTCTCTGCCCCTCAGACTGGGGTCACAAGCACCACCATGCCTTTTTAGCTCTTCCTTCTGTGAGTTCTGCAGCTGTGGTGGACATCGCCATGCTTGCTTCCAGCTTTTGCTATTATGAATAGTTATTATAAACACCTGTATGCAGGTTTTCACTTTTATGCCTGTCTGTGCCCTCAAAGGGCAGAAGGGGGCCTTGGGTCCCCTGGAAGTGCAGTTACAGGTGGTTGTGAGTGGCAATGTGGCACCGGGAGTTGAACCCCAGTCCTCTGGAAGAGCAGCCAGTGTTCTTCACCACTGAGCCTTCCCGCCAGCCCCAGAATTTCTAAAAACCAGAACCCTGAAAGGGCTCTGAGCCTCACTACAATCACAGGACTACAGGGAGGAAAGACCAGTGTTTACGAAGAGTCTTCCCAGGTGTGGAGAGACGGGAATGCACCAGCTGTACACAGGGATGAACACAACGGATGGCATTTGGCACACATCTGCAGGCCCACAAGTGTCCCTGGGCCTCTGCCCTACAGGCCGGCACACGTGCACAGAGTCGGCCACTCTAGCTGTGGACGACAAAGAGGATGAAGCTTACAACTACTCTTTCCCACCAGAACACAGAAAACACACTGGATCATTTTACATAATGGAACATGACAGAGGAACACCACCACCACCACCACCACCAAAAACTGCACCTATTCCTCACAAACCAGTGTCAACAATAGTCAGCAAAAAAAAAAAAAAAAAAAAAAAAAAAAAAACCAGCAAGAAAGGTTCTTGGTACCTTTTATCTGTTGTGTGTGTGTGTGAGTGTGTGCTTGCGTGTGTGTGCTTGTGTGGAGGTGAGAAGACAAGGTTTTACAGTTAGCCATCTCCTTCCGCATATGTGTGTGAGTGTGTGCTTGTGTGTGTGTGAGCATGTGCTTGTGTGGAGGTGAGAAGACAAGGTTTTACAGTTAGCCATCTCCTTCCGCATATGTGTGTGAGTGTGTGTGTGTGTGAGCATGTGCTTGTGTGGAGGTGAGAAGACAAAGTTTTACAGTTAGCCGTCTCCTTCCGCATATGTGTGTGAGCATGTGCTTGTGTGTGTGTGAGCATGTGCTTGTGTGGAGGTGAGAAGACAAAGTTTTACAGTTAGCCATCTCCTTCCGCATATGTGTGTGAGTGTGTGTGTGTGAGCATGTGCTTGTGTGGAGGTGAGAAGACAAGGTTTTACAGTTAGCCGTCTCCTTCCGCATATGTGTGTGAGCATGTGCTTGTGTGTGTGTGAGCATGTGCTTGTGTGGAGGTGAGAAGACAAGGTTTTACAGTTAGCCATCTCCTTCCGCATATGTGTGTGAGTGTGTGTGTGTGTGAGCATGTGCTTGTGTGGAGGTGAGAAGACAAGGTTTTACAGTTAGCCGTCTCCTTCCGTGTGTGTGTTCTCTGTTCTCTCTCTCTCTCTCTCTCTCTCTCTCTCTCTCTCTCTCTCTCTCTCTCTCTCTCTCTCTCTCTCTCTCTAACGCAGGCCTTCAAAACTAGCAACTCAGGAGGCTGAGGCAGGAGATTATAAATTTAAGGTTATACAATAAGACCCCACATCTCAAAAATGCAGAAAACAATAAAAAAACCCAACAAAGAAAAGATTCTTTTAGTTATATATACGAAGACAAGTTTAAAACATGACTTATGTGCAAAGTTGAACCAACTGAAAAGCCCATCCTGTAAAGCTGTTATTTTTTCTATATTAACCTAGAAGTTTAACATGCTCTCAATGTAACAACAGAGTAATTTAAGAGAAAACCAGAAAGGCTAATTACAAAATTCATGTGTATCTGCATACCATTCATTCAAAATGGTAAGAAATACCTACTAAACCCAACACTCCATTCTTCCTTACATTGCACTCTCTTGCTGTGTTCAGGAGGGCACCCAGGTGACAGCTTCCAGGAAGCCAGTCCTCCCCTTCCCTATGTGGGTTCCGGAACTGACCTCAGGTTGTCAGGCTTGGTGGCAAGTGCCTTCACCAACACAGAGCCATCTTGCTGGCCCTGAACTCTACTTCTTATCGACCATAAAATGTGTTTAATATTTACATTCAGCCGAATGTAAAATGCATCATGGGAAAGCAGTATGAATGCAATTCACATGGCTGGCACCTAACCCCTGCTGAAGAATACTGCCCCCACACCTCGGGAGGGGCCGTGTCTCCCCGATCTCGAGCCTGCCCTCCCAAAGGAGACACGGGTGGAATTTGGGATGTCTTTACTCCCTGTATCCCTACTTTTCACGTGCACTCTCCATTCTGCCTCAGGCGCCGCTCCGGGGCCCACTCCTGAGACGTTGCATGGGCGGTGTGGGCTTCCTTAGCTTAGCAGGTGCCTGCGTCCACTCTGATTTCACTCTTGCACCTCTCCTTTCTTTGGAAGAAACCGCAGATGTAAAACTCCTAAGGTGGATGTCAATCTGTACCCAGAGCTACGATGGCTGTTCTGAATGTTTTCTCACTAAAATTAGTATTTCAGCGGGGTGTGACACCCTACACCAGGGAAGTTACTCTACCAGCACTGTCGAACTGTTTGTTCTCTCTGTCATGTGAAGTGCCATAACAGATACCTAAGTAACACATTAATAAAAATATCAAACAGACATGTCACTGACCTTTCTTTTGGGGAGTCTATTTCCTCCTACAACTCATGAGAAGAAAAAGGGAAAACTCCACCTTTACACCAATGACACAGGACTTCTGAGACTGTGTGGGCCCTGTCTTTTGGCCTCCCTAATCTTTTTTTCTTTATTATTTACATTCTGATCCCAGTTCCCCCTCCCTCCTCTCTTCTGCTCCCTCCCCCACCTCCCATCTGCTCCTCAGAGAGCGTAAGGCCTCCCCCTAGCATGTCTACTAAGTCTGTCCCGTCATCTCGTTGGGCCTCCCTAATCTTTCCTGGAGTATGGAGAACAGCACTTAAAAGAAAAAAAAAATGTTTTTGCAATTTACTTATTTTTATTTTCTGTGCATGAGTGTTTTGCTTGCATATATGCCTGTGTACCATGTGTGCACCAAGTGCCTGTGGAGGCCAGAAGAGAGCCCCACACCTCCTGGAACTGGAGTTGCAGAGAGCTCTGTGGTGATGGGAATCAAACTTGGGTCCTCCAGGAGAGCAGTCAGGGCTCTTAACCATTGAGTTATCGCTCCAGCCTGGGGCATAGCACTTTGAAAGCAGTTTCAGCATGAATAGGGTCAAGGATAAACCAGGAATGATGACATAAATGTCATAGA